TTCTAAAAAAACATTAAATAAATCGTTTATGGCACACCGACTCTTTGAGCACCTCCATACCTGCAGGAGGGCCTCCAATCCTCAACATTGGTCGATCCTCCGCTGAACCTTGCCCTACATTGCAGCACGCATTTCTGTTCACTGCACCTGCATTGTGAATGTCTGCTCTTTATCTTTTTTTGAGGGCACGAATGACATAATAACAACTCAACAGGAGATTCTTATATATATAAAGAAAAAAGATGAAAGCGCTAGAAGTTGATTTATATCGAATTACCAACCGTGGCACTTTGAGGTGAGTTTGTGCACGTTTTAACGGACGATGATCATTGTTCCTATGCTTGTTGTTAATTATTTTTTTCATGAATATGTATGGTTGCGTATCATTCCATTGACAAGGGAAAAAGAGTACAATGGTGCAGCCCTAGGCCTGCGATGAGCAGAAGAAGAAGGGTTGCTCAGCCCTTTCTACAACGTGTCGTAGGCAAGATCATATCTAGTCCTTTGGCGCCTGCCTTGGCCCACGCACCCTCCTTATCTTCTCCATGATTAGGGCATGGGAAGGCCGCACATTGTCAAAGATGCATGCACTGCGGTGCTTCCAAATTGTTGTTATTCATCCACCAAACCCCGATAAAGATCACCCATCAAGTGTACGTGTACGGTCAGCTACACCACAGCTAGTAGTAGATACGCTGACATGTCTATGAATCTCTTCATCTGACTTGTGCAAATATACAATGAGATCACGTTTCCCACGAGCTGCCTAACACCATATCAAAAGCAGCTAGCGAATCATTTACAAAACAAGCAGGCAAGGACAATTAAGTTCAAAGTGTATATTCAACCCTATCTCCTCGTCGAGAGAACACAGACTTATACGCTGCACACTTCACGGGGTACAGCTCTACCACACAGTATTCTGTGTACATAGGAAGGGACAAAAATGTTTGCCCTTTTAAACTAAGACTAGTCATAGTGGTGAGTAACATACACATTACTACCTTCATAGTGGGTAATAACAAAAGTGTGGTAACATGCAAAGCTTCATTTATTAGGTTATAGACTCATATTACATTGGGACATGTGATGTTACAGTAACTAGCTAAGTTACTATAACTACCTCACTCTCTTCATTAACTCACTGCCACATAAGCAAATTTACTGAGTTGAACTCGATGTTACTGCTGAATTTACTCTCACTGTGGCTAGTCTAATGAAGCTCCGAACAACAATTGATGCACATCACAAGCTAGTATAGAAAGCAGCTCACAAGTCATCAAAGACAAAACAAGCAAACAAAAGAAATAAACCAAATACATGCAGCTTGAAACTCGAGCCCGTCGTCCGCCATTTTCGCTAGCACTAGCGAAGCAACACCGATATTGGGGGAAGCACATTCGAATTAGGAATCGTGTCGCTCTGATTGGTCGAACCTGGACACATGCGTTTCCGATGCTGAAAACTAAAAAAGAGACCTTGCCCATTCGCCCTAAATTAAATAATGCCGCACTGTCGACATGCACCCTAGACCTTGCCCTCTCGCCCTAGATCAAAAAACGCCGCACTGTCGACATGCACCCTGGTTCAATACGGAACGGTTATCAACCATCTTGTAATCATGGAACTGCTCCATGGCATACAGTTCGCTCCCAGCATCGGTTGCGCCGAACTTAGCTTCGAGCACATCTCACAAGTTTTTGGCAACACACATATTGAGATATGCGTCAACCAACTTGTCTCCGATCACAGTAAGAACGACTCCCACAAAGATGGTGGTTGCCTCCCTAAACGCCTTTTCCTGTTCAGAAACAATCGTTTCTGTGGGAGACACAGCACCAAACCAGAGCACGTTCATTGTTGTGAGTCACAAGGTGGTCCTTGTCTGCCAACGCTTAAAATGCGTCGCAGTAAACTTTTCCGGTTTCAGTGTCGCAGCAAAGCCTTGAATCAAAAAGTGCCTAAAATAAGGTTTTCGGATTGTTGGAAATATTAGCACTTTTCCAATTAGACTAATCCACGAGTAAACAATAAGCATGGCAGATACGTTATGCATCTCATACCGAGTCCTAGGCATACTAGCACGTACAGAACATAGAAGCAAACCATCTACGAGCAGCACATATACGGCTCGCACAAGCACGAGTAAATGAGGGATGAACAGATCATACCCTCCGGTTGGCCAGGCCAACGCGGCAGCGGCAGCAGCAGCCTCGACTTTGTCCGTGGCCTTCTTCTTGGTGGCGGCGTTGTCGGCCATGGTGTTGATGCAGGGGAAGTAGTGGAAGTAGAGGCGGACGAAGCTGGGGACGGATCAGGAGCAGTCGCGTCGAGACGCTCCCCAAAAACCTTATTGCCGATCTCCCGGGCAGGATCTCGAATGGCAGGGTTCCGAAGGCACCTGCTCTCCTGACCAACCGTGCACGCGGTCTTAGGGATGGGGTCGCCGGAGACAACAGAAAGCAGGGAACAATAGATGACGCCTAGGTTATGCGACAGGGAATGAGTGGACCGAACTAGGTTACTCCACTGGCCAGAGCCTTCATATATAGTCCGTTGGGGAGAAAGTCATGGGCCTGGCGGAGGCCCACGACCGAGTCGACGCACTCCCGGCAAGGGAGTCGGAGAAGGGTCGCACTCTCGGCAAGGGAGTCGGAGAAGGGTCGCACTCCCGGCAAAGGAGTCGATGAACCCCGGCAACACAAGTCAGCCCACAGTCCAACGTCTCGGACAGTGGCCCACTTGTTAGTGACTCGTTAATTAATCCCTGATTTAATTAATTCATTCCTGAGCGGCAAAAATAAGCTTCGGCTCGGTTCATTCCCGCAACCCGCGGCGCGCGCGCGTCGTGCCGGGGCGGGCGGCGGGGGAGGAGGAGGAGCACGCGTGTACCACTTCTCTTCCCAAGCTCCCAATGGCAAGTGGTAGAGCAACCCTTATAAAGGGGTCTCAACTCTCCTCAACTAGCAAGGTGGGACTAAACTTCCCACCACCTGCCATTCCATACATGGGCCTCAAGATTAAACAGGAATAATTGTTCATATGGGCCTAAAGCCCATCTATGATTCAACAATATCTCCATTACTTAAGAGACAGGCCATGAAGATCTTAAGATTGACGAAACCACCACAGACGCCTCGTTATTGATGGGGACGCCAGTCTTCCCCCGTGGCATTGAAAAAATTAGTCTTACACACATGTGTTAATTTTGAGTTTTGATTCCTGGTGAGCTGAGGCGCAACCATCTTCCTAGTCATTCAACCATATGTTGATTTTCATTATTATTTTCTCTCCGTTTCACTTTATTTGTCTTGTTATTAGGATGAACGGGTAACTTTTGAAGAAAATCTGGAACGACCAAGCAATGAGTCACTCCTCATCGCTCCAATAAATCATGTTGCGAATGATTGATGTGTCGTTTAAGAGCATTTCCAACAGCTCCTCTAAAATTATGACTCAAAAGAAAATAGTTTTAAGGCACCAAAATTGCGTTTTAGGGCATCGAATTTCTTTCTTCAACAGTTGCTCTAGAATAGGGCACCATGGCTCCAACAGATGTGCTAAAATAGGGCACCCAACCACATCTTTCTTCTCCACAATTTCATACATATATTGAACCAAAACATGAACCATTGATAGAATTAAAAGGTTTGCATCAATGATACAAGTATTATCCAAAATGCATCAAAGCATTTTTCTTAGTGCATGTATGGTACAAGTATTTTTTCTTGGTGCATCGAGCTCATTGGTTCATCGGCTGCAATCAGTACGCATCCTCCATCGTACAGGCACAGTACTACTGCTAATAGTGTATGCATGCTTGCACAATTAATTGATCAATCAAGCACAGCGCGCATGTTACCGGCCTGCTAGACAACACAAATGCTCATTCATTATTCATGTACGATTGACCAGCACATGTTAGTATTATATGATTGAGGTGCACTCCAGCTCAAGAAAACAAAAATAAATACGGTGTGCACGGATATTTGTCGTCATGAACAGTTGCTTCTTTGGCCGGCACTGCCTACATGTCCCAAATGAGCGCATGTACAGCACACTCGACATGGACAGCCATGAGTGGGAGTGCTTACTGCATGGTAAAGTAAAATATGCATCTGCAAAACTAACGTTGGTTCTCAGTGCTGCGAAGATCTCATGATTGCATGAATGGGTAACTTTTTGACGAAAATCTGAAGCGACCAAGCATGAAGCATCAATCGTGGCTGCGCCAATAATTGAACCGTGCTGTGAATGATGTGTCGCTGAAGCTCCACCAACCGCGGTCGTCGACCGGTGGTGCGGCGAGTAGGGACTCCAGCAGTCCCGGCCGGTACAAACGTGGCACACGCCAACCATAAAATAAGTGTCATGTCAAGTACGGAGTGAAAAAGATTCCATCTTAGCCACTGACGACACATTTTTTGGTCTTCTAAATAGGAGTAGCTCGGTACACGGTAGAGGCTCCAGTCCAGATCGGAAAGCGCAAGAACACAAGAGCTAGCTACGAGCAGCACACGCCCGGGAAATCTTTACTAGCACTAGCTAAAGCTCAATAGAGCGCTGTGCCAAGAAGCAGCTAAAGATGTGCAGCCATGGCCATGCGGAGCCGGCGACGGCGTGCGTCACGTGCCCGCCGCCGTCGCAGGGGCGGCTCATCACGGTGCTCAGCATCGACGGCGGCGGCATCCGCGGTCTCATCCCCTCCACCATCCTCGCCTGCCTCGAGTCCAAGCTCCAGGTACGTCCGTCCGTCCCTCTGCACCTCCATCTTCCTCTCGTCCTATATTGTTTGGTTGATTGATTGTGAATTTGTGATGTGCACTGTGTTTGACAGGAGCTGGACGGGCCGGACGCGCGCATCGCAGACTACTTCGACGTGATCGCCGGGACGAGCACGGGCGCGCTGGTCACGTCCATGCTGGCCGCGCCCGGCGAGAACAAGCGGCCGCTCTTCGAGGCCAAGGAAATCAACAAGTTCTACCTCGACAACGGGCCCAAGATCTTCCCCCAGAGGAGGTACGTATGCACGCACACGCACGCGTGCCTTCTTCTCTTCTACTTCCGGCCGGCGGACTGTCGTCGGCGACGATGTTGATGTCGTCGTTGTCGCTTCACGTCCAGCTGGGGATTGCTGACCCCGATAGGGAACATGTTCGGCGCCGTCATGGGTCCCAAGTACGACGGCAAGTTCCTGCACGACAAGATCAAGAGCCTCACCAACGACGTCACCGTCGCCGACACCGTCACCAACATCATCGTCCCGACGTTCGACGTTAAGTACCTGCAGCCGATCATCTTCAATACCTATGAGGCCAAGGTGGACCCGCTCAAGAACGCGCACCTCTCCGACATCTGCATCAGCACGTCCGCCGCGCCCACCTACTTCCCCGCGCACTACTTCACCACCCGCGACCCCGCGGGCAAGCTGCCGGACCGCGAGTATCACCTCATCGACGGCGGCGTGGCCGCCAACAACCCCACCATGGCCGCCATGTCCATGATCACCAAGGAGGTGCTGCGCCGCAACCCCGACTTCACGCACGGCAAGCCCGCCGAGTACGGCAACTACCTCATCATCTCCATCGGCACGGGGTCCGCCAAAATGGCCGAGAAGTACACCGCGCCCGATTGCGCCAAGTGGGGCGTCCTCCGCTGGCTCTATGACGGTGGCTTCACCCCGCTCATCGACATCTTCTCCCATGCGAGCGCCGACATGGTCGACATCCACGCCGCCGTGCTGTTTCAGGCCCTCCGCATCGAGAAGAACTACCTACGCATCCAGGACGACTCGCTCACGGGGCACACGTCCTCGGTCGATATCGCCACCAAAGAGAACATGGAGGCGCTCATCGGGATCGGTAAGAATCTTCTCAAGAAGAATGTGTCCCGGGTGAACATTGACACAGGGATGTATGAGTCCGTCGACGGCGAGGGCACCAACGAAGAGGCGCTCGCGCGCTTCGCCCGGAAACTCTCCGTCGAGCGTAAGCTGCGCCAAACCAACCTCAACTCTAAATAGAGAAGAGGTCGGTTCGAAAGAGAAGACAGATGAAGAAGCACCATCTGCTATGCTTGGAGATGCAGACGGACGCGCGGCGGAAGATACGCAAACCTTTGTTATTTTAATAATTGTGCTTGTTATAATTATGCTTTCGTGGACAAAAGTCGACGAATGTTGATTTGCATCTCTGCCTATGTTAGGTCGACCAACCGAGAGTTGTAATATAATGTAATGTGGGTGAGTAATTATTTTTCTAAATAAAATCTGGGTTGTTCTTCGGTACCACCCTCTAGAAAAATTTAAAATTATCGAGACAAATTATTATAACTTACACTTCACTTAGAAAGAGCAACAATGACAATTCACGTGTAAAAAACGTTGTTGCAGTGTCAGAGATTAGCTTCAGGGGCAGATTAGTTTTTCTTTTCTTTTTTCTTATCTATACTACTATTAAAAGAGCAAACATATAAATTCTCCTACAGCCACACCGCAAAATGTACACGAGATAACCTGCACCCTACGATCAATTCCATCTAATAAAATCTAACAACACATATTGATCTATATCTATACTGCTATTAAAAGAGCAAACATAAATTTTCCTACAGCCACACCGTAAAATGTACACGAGATAACTTGCACCCTACCATCAATTCCATCTAATCTATACTATTATTAAAAAAGCAAACATAAATCCCTCTAAAGCCACACGGTAAACTGTACACAGGATTACCAGGACCCTCGGATCAAATTAACTTAAATACATCCCACCATTCATAATGCATCAATAGTCTGTCACCGAGATCAACGTCTCAGATCAGATGTTCTGCCAACCAGACGCGGTAGTCTGTCAATCCTCGTAGCGCTCCGCGTCCCCAATCCCCACAATCCCGCCGGCAGTTCACAGATTTCCAGATTGACTCCACCCGAAATCATGCCACAAAAACGGATCCGCAGCAACTTGCACGGCCCCACCTTCCTTCCCCTGATCCCCTCCTCTCGTGTGCTTTCGTCCCCATCGCCGCGAGTCGACCCGTCCTCTGGTCGTCGCCCGCCGTACAGCAAGCCGCCGCCGACCTCCTCTGCCGGTAAGCTGCGCTCAACGCCCTCAAACTCCTTCTCTCTCCATCTCCTGACTAATATATCTCCCTCTCTCCGTTCCGCGTTGCAGGGTGCCATGGCATGGAGCAGAGCTCCGTCAGACCCTCCCGACCATATCGACGATGACGACAAGCGGATCTCCCCCCCCCCCCGCGCAGCATCCGTCGTGTCCGCCTTGGCTAGCCGTAGTGCACATCTGTCCCACCTCCCAGCCAGCCCTGCCGCCCTAGGTATGTGTTCGATATTTTTTCTCTGAAGGCAGAAGTTGTACACTGATAAGTATGTCGTTTCAACCATTGGGTGCCATTCCGATGAAGGTGATTTGGTTCTTCCAATCTGTTTGAGAAGCAAGCAGATGAAGCATAGGAGCGACGTGATACTCCATATTCCCAGTAAATATCATGGTTAATGTTTTTAATATTAGCATCTCATAGCAGTGTCCAATTACTTACGCCTAATCTTATTCATATATGGTAATTTACTGTAACGTACAGAACTTTATTCATATATCAAGACCACTTTGTAGTGTTTGCTTACCGTTTCTTTTGTCCTGTTAATTGGTTGATATTACTACTAGATGATTATATATCCATTCAACATTGTGAGTTTGCGACTGGCCTTTTCTCTCTTCAGTTATATGAAGAACCTGATTGGTGAAGCTAATTGTCAAATCTGCCAGGAAAGCTTCAGACACCATTGCAAATGGTATGTCCAGATTATACATAGAACTGCAAAATTTATGAACAGATGTGTTGGCATTATGATTGCGATGACATTTAGAATGTGTAGGGTTCTTGTTGGCCGGGCACCGGTAGAGCGACCAACTTGTCAGTTGTCTGAACTATCCGAACAGTAAACTTGAGTTGATCTTGGGCTGAAGCGCTAGAGGGTAACAAAATAAATTTCGTGAGTTATTCAGGACTTCAGGTTCGTACACATTGTTGCCCCTCGGGTGCTTTTGTGCAGCAATCTACCCGTCCATGGCGTGGATCTTCATCTTACTTAACATCTTGCTAAATGTAGCGTCTCTTCTAAAAAGAACATGTGTAGTGTAAAGTAAGGACACTTCCTAGATTCACATGCTATCTGCAAGTGCCTAAACTAAACAAAGCTTTATAGTGCCCCTCTGTCTATAGCAAGCAGCCTAGAACAACAGATCGTTTGTCTTTTACGAAAAGAGTGATGAGTGGAACTTGAGCTTAATCTGAATGTTTAGTATGTGTATGTGGCAGTGGTAGATATGCAGATCAGCATATGGTTCTGCTGGAGAAGACACAAGGCTTGAAGGGAGAATGGGAGACAAGAGAGTGCTGATTCAATGGCCCTCATTTTAGCGCGCAATTTTTTTTGGAAGACGCATTTCAGAGCTGGAAATACGACGGATCATCCCCACAGATCCCTCTTTAATAATAGTATAAATATCTAAAAACTTACTTTTTAGTCCAAATTTGACGTAAAACCCTTGTTTGATGCGTCTCTCACATCACTCATCCGAAAAAGAGTGATTTCTTCCCTAAAAAATATTAGAGAGCTTGGCATTGTATAATGTTTGCAGTTTTAAAATATTTGCATCAAACTTTATTTCCCGTCTGTAATTCTGTTCTTCCACCGTGCAGATTGTTCTTATATGTTGCATAACACTAGCAGGAGTACAACAGAAGGGAATGGCAGAGAGGGAATGACAGAGGCAGGCCTAAGCATGTTCCTTATATTCTTCTATCTCCTATTTATTGCATGGTATGATATTTGGATGAGAAAATAATACAATAGATGGTGTGTGGAACATCACAATCTGCATTTTCAAAAGCTTCTTGCAAATTGAATTTTACCGCTCCTGCATTCATGAAAATTTATGAATAGGGCAATCATTTAAGTTTTCTTCCAAACGTTCTGATGTATCAAATTCATGAATTGGACAGTCTTTCAACACGATAATAAGCATATGTATTCCTTTTATCAATATATTTTAAATATGCTAATATTGTTGGATGATGTTGAATTTAATTGGTTATGTTCTATATGTTTTATTCAGATGTTGTATTTGCTAAGAATCTGTCAGTCGTGAGGTCAGTGATGTATGGTTTCAATGTGGGCAAACTGGAATAGTGAAAATGTTCACTATGGAAGTTGTTCCAGATAATAGCTGTGTTAGTTGATTTAATCAAGAAGTGTTACTGAACCAGTTCTATTTAATTTAGCATACTTGACATAGTAATGAGCATATTTTAGCAATGGGATAATGACATCCGAACTTCTGTTTCACTTGCATCTTGGTTAGGGTCACCATCATGAGTGGGCATTTGCTTACTGGGCAAAGGAGTAGAACCCACATATGGTTGTTTGACCATGCTGGAAGTGACCACTTTCCCAAAACTGAATTAGAAGGAGAGAGGTATAAGGAGGCAAAGTTCATCGACAAGTCACTGTCTGCACTGAGTGATGTTATTGCTTCCCTTACCTTCAAAACGCCCATGTACATGTTTGTTCACCTTCGTTTTTGTTTTGTACAATCACTGAAACTGATTGTGTGCATGCAGCAGTTCATTAGTGCCTATTTAATTGATTATCCATGACAAAAATAGCTCTTTGTAGTGTTCTCTATTCTTGAGGCTGTCGAAAACTCAATGCTTATAAAGAGCAAACTTTTAGTGTGACCATCAATGGATTTATTTTATAGATTGCAGTGGCTTTGCCAAAGTATCAAGGCAACCATTCAGATGTTGGCGACAATGAGACACTAAGAAAGAAGAGTGCATATGTGGCTTTGTCTAACTTGTCAAGACCAGGCTCACGCTATTGCTCATATCTTGCTTGTTAAAATTCACATCTTCTACACGTGATAAGCAAGTTGCACTGATTTTTCCAAGTGCATTCCCAGTATAGTAGTATTTCTTTCTTCAGATGCATCATTGTATTTTTATAAATGCATGTTCCAGTGTAGTAGTTCTTTGTTTTCCAAATGCATGTTCTAATTCATATAATTAGTTTCAAGGTGCGGCCATCATATGTCATCAAGATCATTCTTAACCTGCAAATTTTTACTCCATCCGTTCCTAAATACAAGTCTTTTTAGAGATTCATATATGGACTACATACGAAGCAAAATTAGTGAATCTACACTCTAAAATAAGTCTATATACATCCGTATGTAGTGCATATTGAAATTTCTAAGAAGACTTATATTTAGGAACGGAGGGAGTAGTTTTGAGTTGTAATCAAGTTAGATAGCTTTTAGTTCGCACAACTTCATTGTCTGATTATTCTAGCTTTACACATGACGTTGTCTTTTTGTATCTTTTAGAGAAATAGAGGAGGCACAACCAACTAAGGACGGAAGTACTTCACACACGACACAACAGTGAACGACACTTGCACGATGGCAAATCCAGCCGTTTCTGCTGTTTTATACTTGCCCATGGACGGTGTGATACCCATGTCGTGCAATGATCGGCTGGTAAACGTCGTCCCTGTAGCGGTGCTCAACTAAGAATCATGTCAAGTGAAAGGTACAAGCTATTGTCACATGGATGCGCACATGGTGGTTATCCTAGGGCATATGGTAGTTTTTTCGATAGAAGAATTAAAAGCGTAGCATTACAAGAGATATGTGACTGGACTTTTTGCGTATGCTCAATTACCCATTGTGTATTAAATTTTCTGCAATTCAACACGTGAGTTGTGATCAGATTTAAAAGAGGATTTAATTTGTTTCGATTGAATATGCGCGTCCTAATGAAAAAAAATTCCTCGGATATAACGTGCGTTGTACGTGCACATTTACTATGAAATCTAACAACACATATTGATTCGGTGGTCTGCCATCCAATCCGATGGCTCAGATTCAATGTTCTGCCACCCACGTCCTGCCCACTGCCATTCAGATCGATTTGCACCAGATTTCCTCAGTCAAGCGCCGC